GTACAGTCATCCTTCCCGTCACCACTACAGCCATCACCCCCCGGTACAGTCATCCTTCCCGTCACCACTACAGCCATCACCCCCTGGCTACAGTCATCCTACCTGTCACCACTACAGCCGTCACCCCTGCTAGTCATCCTACCCATCACCGCTACAGTCATATAGTCATCACCCCATTACAGTCATCTGCGCCCATTACCCCGTCTGTCACCCCCGCTAGTCATCCTACCCATCGCCCCGTTACCCATTGCCCCCGCTAGTCATCCTACCCATCGCCCCGTTACCCATCGCCCCGTTACCCATCGCCCCGTTACCCATCGCCCCGTTACCCATTGCCCCGTTACCCATCGCCCCATCGCCCCGTTACCCATTGCCCCCGCTATAGTAAACTTGCCCATTGCTGCATATATCCTATATATTGCTGCTACATACTGAATATTGCTGATATTAAGTCACAATTTTAATCAAGTCATAATTTTAATTTACTTTAATACACTCATTCTACTCACTATTATTTATTCATTTTATTTATATGCTCCCAGCCACTGTGCCTTTTTGATCATTATCTCCGCTCTGCAGAGTGTTTCACCCACATTACTGCTCTGCTACATGAGCATTGCCATACAGAATTCCATGATTTTGCATTGACAGTAAAGGTGTCTTGTCTTATAGTACTTTACTGCAGCATTTTTCCGTGTAGAGAAAACTATGATAGGACACCACAGTGACATCAGATGCAGACCTCAACCAAGCCCAAGATAGAGCTTCACGCTGGCTTTTTTCCAGAATAAGAATTTTTTTATAAATACATGGCATTGAAGCGACATATATAAAAAAAACCTGGAAGATGCTCATATTGGTCTATCGAAGGTCACTATAGTACAAAAAGATGCAGCTGATTTTGGTCAGTGTTGACCTGTGTATGGCTCGCGGTCTACGAAACCCTAAATGTTCATTAAGCCCGCTGACGAATCCTGAGACAAAAGCCATTACAGGAATGTAGTCGTCAGCTTGGACCTCAGCAGGCAGAAACGCAGTCAGCCAGCCATGTGTGAGTGAGGGTTTTGTCCATAAAATATGAGATCTTGTTCGGGGGGGGGGGTGACATAGGGACATAAGCAATGATCCTCAAACACATTTTCCTGTTAAAAATAAAACAAACAGGAAAAACACAGAGTCACGGTGAGTAGAGAAAGGGCAAAGACTGAGTCAAAATATTCATTAGACACATAGTCCAAGGACAAGACTAAGAGTTGGCAATATACATTATAAAGACCAACAATAAAGGAAAAAAAATCCTGATAAGTTTCATGTTACATTAGCACACATGCGCGTGCGTGTGTGGGTGTGTACACCTGTGTATGGCTAGAAGCATAGCATAGCAGTAGAGGCTGGCTCTTGCGCATCAGTCTCACAATGGTGCTCAACTTGTCATGCCTGGGTCAACTCGTCGTGTCTGGCCTTTGCCGGGTCGTCTGGGTAAGGCATCCAAATGCTCGCTCAACAGAAGCAGCACTACAAGTGCCTTAAAGGCAATGGGCCAGACTAGACTTCCATCAAGCAGGTCCCGCATGCAAATGTGCAGCCGGGTTGTAGGTTTATGCATAAAGAACCAGAGGGGTTACAGGTTTGAATCAAAATAAAACGCCGATAATTTAAGTATTATTGCTAAATAAAACATCCAGGCAGTCCCAACTGCAAAGGACGTTTTGATGAACATCTGCTTGCCTGACATCCCTCTGGTTCTGACACCCCCTTAGGAACCCAACATGCGCAAACACATAGTGAATCGGCCTTAACCAATCAGAATGCAATGAAATTTTACAACCCAATTAAAGGCACATTACACCTCTGCCCCCTCAATAACAAAGTCTCATTCACCTCTAAGACAATTAGAGAGTACTATGTACTATGATTCTACATCTTGGGGTTAGCAACTGATTTTCACATAAAGTAGTACCATGTGAGCTTGTCCTAATAAGAGCTTCACAAAAGTGAATAGGAACAGATGCAGAGGAAAGAAAATCAGCACTACCAGTGGTCCATCGAGGCGTAGGATTCATACCAATGATCTAGGAGACATGTTAACCTTTTACTGAAGACCAGAGTTATCTGACATTCCTGAAGGCCTTTGTGCACTGCAGACCTTCAGATTTGCAGGTGCAGTGGTCTGCAGAATTTGGGTTAAGAAGTGCTGTTCCCCCATAGATCCAGGGGAATTCTGGGTAAGGACTGGGTCTGTACCTGGCGCAACATCTGCCTCCATTCGGCAGACAACGCGGACGGGAGCCAGTCATGGCAGTGTTGGATCTGAGATGCTGAAGGGGCTCACAGCCAAACAAGTAAATCTCTCCTCCTCTGCGTTGCTTCATCTTTGATACTTGATAGTTGGATAGACAAGGGGAGGATCCATATCCAGGGACTATCCTGGGGTCTTGGCAAGAATCTCATCAATGAATTCAGCCTGGTAGAAAACATCCACGTCTAAGAGCTGCTTCCCCTGAACACAGGGGCTCAATAACACTGCCTGTAAACTCATTCTCCAAGGGCGAGGAGAATCACCATGGCCAACGGATTAAGGACACATGAAAGTGCATGAATACTGCAAACGAGGCAAATTGTTCCAACCCTTCTTGTTAAACTGGATATCCAAAATGCAAGAGCTGGCAAAATTTAATCTAGTGCTAATGTACCAAACCTAAGCACCACAGTGTCAGAATGGCCACGGTCAGACACCACAAGCTTTCTATAAGGCCGTTTCTGTTTTTATGTGAAGTGGCCGTCGGCTAGTTTCCGTTCTGGCCAATCCATGTGCTTGGATCGGCCGCGGGGTGAATCAGCGGTAAAAGATACGGCGAGGCTGTCTCTTCCATTTCGTATAATTACATCAGTCACCTTTGTTTGAGACTAAAGAGGCACAGCGCCTCACTCTGGTTGAAGGCAAATAAATCGGATGCCGCCACAAGGATTCAGCATCCATGAAATGCTTGACTTCTTTAGGCAAAACTGTATGCAGATTGCTTATGCAAATCAGGTTGAGGTTTATTGTATAAAAATTGTTCAGAAAAATATTTCGTTTTTTCGACATTCTCTGCATGCACATTTAGTACATACACAGTGAACCCGCAGGGTCAGTGACACCACGACGGCCTTCCTGTCAGTGAGCTCCGGAAATCAGCCTGCCTTAATGCAGCCACTTCATAATGGGCCAGAGGGCAGCTCAGAGCAATCGATTGCCTACTGCTCCAGAAACGTCTAGTCGAAGAAAGCACCCAGAAACCCACAATGCATCTCTCTGAGTCACGCCCCCCACGATAGCACCCTGACACAGCAGATCCGTCCCGGGCAGCTACCGGTAGCTAAATGTGCGCCCAGCAAACACACTGCTCACAAGCTATACACAGAAAAATGCTAGCGGAACGGCTGCTTTCAGATAAGGAAACGGGATTCACAGAAGCGCTAATGCAAAAGGAGATCTGCTTCTCCTGTCACCAGTGCGAGGACTTTAGGGCTGCACATTTCACCTCATGGTGGCGCCGTCGAGGCAGGGTCACTAGGGTTCGCGGGGCAGCTGGGAGGGGAAGACGAGCGTTGGGTCACAAGCGCCATGCTCCTCAACCACAACCCCGCATCAGGGGATCAGGGCTGAGTTTGTCCAACGGGGGTGTCGGAGCAAAGCCGGTAGGAACATGACCCCCTCCCCCCTGCTGAGACGGAGGCCGTTTCATACTTGCGGGTCGGTGGGACCGCTCCGCCTGACTGTACCTGCCCAAGGTACAGCAGGTTGTCACGGAAACTGCCAGAGCAAGAGGGACAGACCAGAGACAGTCCTGAGAGTGCGCACACACAGAGAGCCCTCCACAGACGGTCACGTGCTGCAGCCAGCTGGTAAAGGAACAGCCCCTCACCCCCCCCCCCTCGCTAGGCAGCACCCCACCCCCGGATTGCGGGGACACTCACCGGTGGGCGGGCCGCGGCTGTTGCCGTGGGCGTTCTGGCATGCGCTCTGCTGCAGGATGTTCAGGCACTCGCCCAGGCAGCTGAGCGTGGCGGCAGAGGTGGCCTTCAGCAGTAGCAGGTCCTGGTCCAGCGAGGAGAGGGGCCCGCGGGTCGGCAGCGACTCTATGGACTGCACCAGCGTCTTCTGCTGACCCTCTGCCTGACTCATTATCTGAGTGGGGGAGCAGCAGACACTCAAAGTCATTTCCTCCACGTGTTCAATTACTCAACCTCTCTCTCTCTCTCTCTCACACACACTCTCCAGCGATGCTGCTGCACTAGAACCCCAACATTCACTTAGTAATTCATCCTCTGGACTGTAGGGGGCGCCGCAGCAGAGAGGAGCAGGCGCAGCGGCATTAGCTGTGTTTTAGTAACACGGTGCCGGTGTTAAGTCTGACTCATTCGTGGGAATCCCCAGAGCGCTGCAATGATGACCAGCATGCAGGAAAACAGCCGTGCAGCCGGGTGGCCATATGTGCTATTTATTACTCAGGAATTCCAGAATGTTCCGGAAGGGAAGAGGCAACTCAAACAAGCCGCTCTGAGATCCCAAACATCACGGACCCCCCACACCACCACCATTATAATAATTCGTAAGTAAAAATATCATCTGTGGCGGCTTCCTTCTCCTGTGCAGAGTACCACTGGTAAGTATAAACTTAATGGTGTGAAAGGGAAAAAAATGAGGTTAAATGACATCTTTCTTGAAGTGGATGTTACGTGTCCAGTCTGTTCTGTGCCCCAGTTATAACTTTGGCTTCATAAGAGACATTTTTATGCCAAGTTGACTCCGTTTGATCTTAATCTCGGACAGCACACTGCTCCATGGTGAAGCAGACCAAGTCCACACTGTTAACCTACTAGGTTATCTGCTGTCCTCCAGACATACGCAGACAGAGTGCAGACGAGCTGGGCTGAGCTCCCAAAACACAGAGCGTGGCGCTGCGATTGCCATAAAAGGGAATCTAGGTCATGGTTGAAAAACTTTTCTGTCAAAAAAAAGGTGGGACCGAAATGAAATGGCACATCACAGCGAGCTCGGCACAGCAGGCCGGGAAGGTCCGGCGTTCTGGGAGACACCCCCAATTTAGGAGCGAGAAGAGGCACAAACAAATGACACCCTTAGAGGAGAACGCCACCCCCCCAGCCATCGTCATTGTCATGCTCATAGCATTAAAGCTTCTGCAGCTATCAAGGAAGCTTTGATCTTCCTGCACTTTATAAACACCGTTACGTGGATATGATGAATAATTCTGTGTGTGTTTCACTGTTCTGCACCAGGGAACAGGGCGAGCAACAGGACACAGGAACAAGCATCACGAGCAGTCTGGGAGTCTGACTGAGCTTGTGGGAGCCTTGCATGTGACATAAGCTACACTAACTGATTCGGTCCCATACTATCCTGGCACATGCTAGGCTAACTGCTTTGGTCCCAAACTAACCTGGCACATGCTACGCTAACTACTTCAGTCCCATACTAGCCTGGCACATGCTACACTAACTGCTCCAGTCCCATACTAGCATGGCAGCACATGCTAGGCTAGGCTAACTATTTCAGTCCCATACTAGCCTGGCACATGCTACACTAACTGCTTCAGCAACATACTAACCTGGCACAAGCTACGTTAACCATTTGAGTCCCATACTAGCCTGGCACACGCTACACTAACCACTTCAGTACCTTATTAGCCTGGCACATGCCCGAATTTTGATGCAAGTCGAAACACACCCTTTTTCTGATTTCATTACAATGTGTAATTTCACTTCCATCGTGATGGCTTTCCTCTTCACAAACGGAACACATGCGCTTTTAACAGTGCAAAATGGCGTAGGTAAGTGTACTGGGGGACGCCAACGCCCTCACTCATACACTGCGTTACTGCATATTCTTCCACTGCGCGCAACCAAACTAGTTTGCCCACATAGTCAGTAAGTGCGACACTAACAGCGCAAGCAGTTTTTATGGGAGTGAGCGTCGTAACTCGAGGACCCCTGTATATGTATTTCTGTGTGTATGTGGATTAGATTTATATTACATTGTGGGGAACAAATGTTCCTTACAATGTAATAAAAACCAGTCAACATTATGGGGACCATTTGTCAGGTCCCCACAAAGATATGAGAATGCATTCAAAAAAGTAAAAATGCTAAAAGTCTCATACAGTGTAATCCAGTTTTAACGGACTTCAAGGGACCTGGCAAAGCAGTCCATTATATCCAAAGCCCGTTATATTCAGAGTTGCCGTTTGCCCAGAATACAACTACAGGACACCATTTACTCATGCCACACCCCAGCAGCCACACTTGTGGTATTGATTATTATATTGTACATGTAGTAATCCAGCTTCACCTGAGCAGATGCGTGACTATTAATAATCCCGACTCCGTATCTGCGCTGGATATCACCGGCATGCCACGCGCCTTGTAGGCGGAGCTGCATGTGTGTTATAGCCGAACAAAACTACAGCTGAAAGCGGCCCTGGGGACCAAATTGTTTGTCCGTTATAAGTGAAATTCTGTTATATGTGAGTCCGCTATATCCGATGCTTTTCTGCATGTTCTTAAAGGCGCACAGCCGGGACCAGCGGACCTCGTCCGTTATAGACGATATTCCGTTATAAGCTAGTTCACTATAACGGGATTTTACTGTATTTTGTTTGGTTACTTATGATTAAGGTTAGGGCTGAGTAGGAGTTACGGTCATCATGTTCGGATTAGAGTTTTCCCCATAGAAATGAATGGAGTCCCCACAAAGATATAATTACAAATCTGTATGTGTGTGCGTGTGCACCTGTACATTTTTATGGTGCCATTTCAGAGAATTAATGAACTGGATTTTTACCAATTTTCAGTTCAGGTAATTCTCATACTGGCCATACAGAACTGGATTCCTCATAATTTACTCAGATGCCTCATAAAACCAGTTTACCAAGGAAGATCTGTGAGCCCCCAGGGTGGGGTGGATGGGGTTAGGTTCCTGCTTGGCAAGCCCTCCTCATGCAGCACCACCATCCTCTGGCTATTCAGTTATAAAGGCATACAGCTGTCATCTCTGAGCCACCCGTGTCATTTAACTGGTGCCCTGAGACCCCAGCCGTGCACCCCTGCACCCTCCAATCCCAACCAGGGTAAGCAGATGGTCGATGGACAGAGAAGTCGGTGACGCATAAGAAATTAAGATCCTCAAAAAGTAGGTCCAAAAAAACCAGGGTTTCAAAATCATACTAACTGCTTATCCCAGTATAACAGAACTACACAGCCAAAAAGTAGATTCACGGCACAACAACTTTGTAAACTAGTAAGTCAGACACAACCATCATAACTAGAAAAACAAACCTACTTTATAACTAATAACGGATATCCTGTACGATTTTGTTTAATACTGTGCAGGAAAACGTTGAGGGTGTCCACCAGGAAATTCCTAAAATAAATGTGACACCTTCAGGCAGACAAGACTCTTGGCTGGAGGGTGTAACACTAGCTTGATTCGAAACTGTGAACCTCACGATGACTTGTGGCTATTTCACAGAAGCCTGGTTCCTTCCCAGGCTTCCTCCATCACACTCTCCACTCTCTCCCCCCATAACAGCTGAACAAATTATTTGGGAGATGTATTCATATGTCACCGTCTCTCCTATTTCATTAACATCCACCCCCCACACACACACACATCTCCAAAAACCAGTTCAGGGAGGTCATCACCCTCCTCGGTTTCATGGTCCCGTTCCAAATAATGAACCGGCAATGTAAGAAAGGACCACCCACGGCTCCGTGAGGCATTCACCAATCGAGACGCATTACACCTTCAATGACTTCTTCAATTGACCCCTTCATTGAGTTCCAGAACAGCTGAATCACTAAACTAGCTACATTTTATCATTAAACTAAAAAATGAATGCCTGAGTCAGTCCTGCTGGAAGTAACGCCTCCATCAGCCCTGAGTCTGAGTGTGTATGTGGGCATTTGTGTTTGTGTGTGGAGATACGGTCACATGACACACGGCCGCCCCTACTCTGACATTTGGGTTAATAATGCAGAGCGCCGAAAGATCAGGCAGATCGTAAACTCCGGGAAGCGTCGCAGGTGAGTCCCGGGAGACGGCGGGCCGGTTCACCAAGCGGCCAGGAAGCCAAAGACGGATCACATGCTGTGCCGTGAGAGCGGAAGAGAACAGATGTCTGAAATCACAGCACGTAACAGTATCTGTAGCTGGGCTCAGAGCCCCCAGAAACCTTGCGCCAGGACACACCTCCCCCTGGAGTGCATGCAGAGTCATGGAATCACTCACCCACATAGTCTTCAGTTAACTCACACGGCCTTACAGAGTCACGCACACCCCTGACATACAGAGTCATACACGCCTCTGAAATAAAGTCATACACGCCTCTGACATGCAGAGTCATGCACACCTCTGATATGGAATCATACCTCAGAGATAGTCACGCACGCCTCTGACATACAGTACAGAGTCACGCACACCCCTGACATACAGAGTCATACACGCCTCTGACATACAGTACACAGTCACGCACACCCCTGACATACAGAGTCATACACGCCTCTGACATACAGTACAGAGTCACGCACACTGCTGACAGAGTCACAAACACTGCTGACATAGAGTCATGCACGCCTCTAACCTGCAGAGTCACGCACACCAATGACATGCAGTCACACACGCCTCTTATATAGTCACACACACCAGTGACATGCAGAGTCACACACGCCACTGACATACAGTCACACACACCAGTGACATGCAGAGTCACACACACCAGTGACATGCAGAGTCACACACACCAGTGACATGCAGAGTCACACACACCAGTGACATACAGAGCCATGCACGCCACTGACATACAGAGTCACACACACAGTGACATGGAGAGTCATACACACCAGTGACATACAGTGTTGCACACGCCTCTGACATGCAGAGTCATGCACACCAGTGACACGCAGAGTCACACTCATGCTCACGTTTGCCATCTCTGGAGGAGCCACTGCTGACAGGCAGCCTCAGTGTCGCCGTATGCGGCCGGGCGGGCAGCCAGCAGCATGGAGAGACGTCACAGCGGGCCATGCCAGACCCCGGGGACTGTCACAAGGGGGCTGCTGACATTTACCCATGATCCAGAAGCAGAAACGGTCAAAGGGGCACGGAGCCCACACCCGCCTTCATGCAACACCGCATCTTAATCTGTTCCTCACAGTCACAAGTTCAAACCCATGAATGCCAGCAACCTAGGGGCTGAGGATGTCCGTGTGCTGCTATGTGATGGGGTCACACACTCCTCTTGACTCATTTCTTGGCATCATGAAAGATTCATCCCTTCATTTCTTGCTCTTCATAAGCTCCCGGTTATCTTTCATCACAGGAAGAGTAACGTTGGCAAATCTCCACCGTCACCCACATCCAGGCATATTCCATAGTGACAGAGGCACTTCTGCCTTCCTAAAACGATCTCTTACAAATGAGGCGATGAGCTTTTCTGTTATTTTTATCTATTCCTGAAGCTCTCATCAGAGTAGCTGTAAAGGCACCTAATCAGTAACACCTGCTGAGCACCAGCGTGTTACAAAGAGCCCAGGAAACAGGAGAGACAGCTGAGCAGATCGATCACGCCGTTTCTTACCCGCTGAGGCCAGCCTATGTGGACGGCTTCTTGCTGCTATGTTACATCCACCTGTCCAGCTTTCTGAAAGCGCCTCTACGTCAACAGGCAACACGTACAAGAGGGTCTAAGCAGCCCGGGGGAGGGGAGGAACATTCCAGGCCGTCCACGCGGCAATCCTCAACTGTCTTCAAAAAAGTGAACAAGCTGCGAGATCTTAAAAACAGCAATTTGGCTCATCCACAGAATTGGCTCGGTCTTAGTGATGCAATGTGGCTAATCAGGGCCTTTCATGCATATTTAGCGGGACATCAGGTAAACGGCCATAAACGATCATTCCTCGGCAAAGGAGGAGATCTGACAGGGAACGATTACGGTCCTGCTGACGGCCTCGGAATACAGGAGCAGCTGGGCACGAGCACGCAATGCCTCCATATCCCCAAACCGGCCAGCAGCCAGTCGGCATTAGCGAGGGGCATTCCAGCCACCAGATGGCATTAACAGATGCAAGATTCCACAAATCAGAATTCTTCATCGTCATCTCACCATATAAGGGTACGTGAGCACAAATGTTTGTGTGTCACGCCCCACACGGCTGCCATGAAATGTCATATATCCAAGGCCACTCTGCAAAGTGTGATGAGGTAAAGGCAAGTTAAAAAAGACAATTTCATAGCCACAGAAAAAAAAAATTTAAGAGACCACTCTATATTTTTAAACAAATCTGCATTTTTAAATCTCGCTTTAATCATGGTTCTGCTGGCAGAAGGTTACGCTGAGCAGCAGGTTGCTTCCAGGTTCAAAATTTCTAATACAGAAGCACACAAGAATATGGTGAAGCAGGAGACACTGGGAGCGACCAGAAACCAGCCAGGTAGGGGGCGGAAGCGAATTAACAGAGATGACCGTTAACTTATCCGACAGTTTCTCATGAATCCTAGGATGACATCAAGTGACCTTCAAAAGGAATGGGAAACATTAAGTGCAGGTGTGAAGTGCACTGCTAGGACAGTTCATATCAGGCTCATAGAAGCAGGACTGAAGTCCCATAAAGCAAGGAAGAAGCCCTTCATTAATGAGAAACAGAGAAGAATCAGGCCACAGTTTGCAAAAATAAAATATATTATTCACAGACGCACACACATAAGTTGAGAAAAGAGTGAAACAAAAAATTGTGCTATGATCTCTTAATTTTTTCAGCAGCTGTACATGTAAAACTAGAAAAGACATCCGTTCAACATTCATACCTCATACATCCGACATATAAACAATAAAATATTTACAGCTGGGCAAAAGTCACATGATTCAGAGAGCTGTACAGAAGAATAATAACTGATTAACAAAGAAATGATACCGTAAATCGATGTAAAATTAGATGATTTAATGGTGTTGATTCCCTGCACAGGGCTGAAGCGTCAGAATGTGAATGTTATGGCATCAGTCCATTCAGCAGGCTGCATTTCTCAGGCAGTCAAGGCACCGTGCTCACAGTCTGCAAGCAGCACGCGAGGAGTCATCATGAAGAGTTATAGCTGGAGACGCTGCGTGGGGGGGGGAGGCACATTGGAGGGGTGATGAGGCATAAGCAAACAGTCCTCGGGAGAGGGGGAACACATACATCCGTCAGTGCAGGATCACAGCCTCTGTGCACACCAATCCCCTCAGTCTCGGCATGTGCATGTGTGCGTGTGTGTCACGTATACATGACATTATGGGGACCGAATGTCCTCACATTTGGTTAAAGTTAAGGCTGGGTAGGGGTTAAGGTTGTCATTGTTGGGATTAAGGTTTTGCCCATAGAAAGAATGAATACAGGTCTGCCTGTGTGTGTGTGTGTGTGTGTGTGTGTGTGTGTGTGTGTAAGGGAGCTCAGCATAAGCCTTGTTAACAGTTTACTCTTTACCCTGCCTGCGTTCCAGTGCTGTTTGTGCAGTGTGACATTATGGCAGTGATTATGGAGACCCCCTTTAACATGATGGGACTGTTTGATTATGTAATGAGCACTGATGTTTTATAACAGAGGATGTTTTTGACAGAATGGTGGCTGTTTGATTTTGATGTAATGATGTGATGACCTGACAGAGACCTCGACTGATGGAGGTTCTGTTTGGTTAAATGACAGCGGCTCTGATTGTCATGATGGAGACTGTGGGATGATGTGATGGAGGTTCTGTTTGGTTATGTGACAGAGACTGATGATGTGGTGCAGGCTCTGATTGATGACGTGATGGAAGCTCTGGGTGTCACAATGGTGGTTCTACGGATGTGATGGAGACTCTGATGAGCTGTCAAAGTCTCTGTTTGGTGATGTGATGGAGGTTCTGACTGATGATGTGATGGATCCTCCATCTGATAACGTGATGACATCACCAGTGTGACCCATGACAGGCAGCTATGGCGGCACGTGACAGCGGCACTGAACACAAGCGCTGACTGGAGGAGCCTCCAGCATGCCATGGAAGCCCAAGCACTTCGTCAAAGAGTGGGTGTGAGTGTGTGTGTGTGTGTGTGTGTGTCTGTGTGTGTGTGTGTGTCTGTGTGTGTGTCTGTGCGTGTGTGTGTGTGTGCGTGTGTGTCTGTGTGTGTGTGTGTGTGTGTCTGTGTGTGTGTGTGTGCGCACACGCATGCTCTCTATATCCCACATCCCCGCCCTACAGCAAACCCACCCTCCTGGTTGTGCGACAGCAGCCTCAAACAAAACAGGAAGCCAAACTACAGACAAGCACCGCCCAGGCTGATGGACCCTGTGATGATTTCCTGTACAGGACCTGTGGCTGACATTAAACAACCACCACGTATGGAGGAAAGACACCCACAGGCCATTCCTCCACAAACGCTAACCGCCATCTTTGGGCTATATATGACGCTCCAGACGCCCCCACCCATGCTCCATCCTCTCCACATTCCCACCAAACAGGGCCCCCGCCACACAGACGACGTGCTGTGTGTGGGTTCCAGCCCTGTCTGTGAGGTGTCTGCCTCCCACGGACCCCCACCTAAGGGCTGGAGCTGCGTGGTGAAAACCCATGCCGACTCCCGCCCCCCCACAAGCTTGGGAAAGCCTATACCATGGATCTGTGTTATCCAAATAAACAAGTGGAAAATGAATTCACGACACACACACACACACACACACACACACGCCTTGCCAGCTTTCAGACCTCAGGAGAACATGCAGCCTGAAGCGAGGTGAAGATATCTCCTCGGATCAGACTGGAAAAGCCACGGCTCGCGGCCGGGGGGTGTCGATGGTGGGCGTCGCCTGTTTCAGCAAGCGAGAGCACAAAGCCCTAGCATTCAGACCGACGTCTGACGGAGCGGATATCAAAACGCCAAGAGAGACGCTCGCTTTGTGATTGCGGGGCACAGATGGACCCTGATTCCTCGATTTCAGCTCCCAACACAGGAAATGAGATGAAGGAAAAAATGATGCGCTCATATCTCAGACAGGGGGCGCCGTGCGGCTCAGCGGGATAGGACGCCGTGTCTGGGATCGGAAGATCAGCAGAGTAATTTCTCCATTGGGCCCCTGAATAAGGCCTTTAGCCCCCAGCTGCTCCAGGGACTGGCTGGTCCAGCTTTCTCAAATGCACGCTGCTTCCTTCTCAAGATCTCACCAGTCTAAGAGTCACAAACCTGGTGCTCCTCAACTTAGCACGGTACCTAAGCAAACATCTGATCTGTGCAGAGGTCCTGTACCCCTTTACACAGTGCTGGACAGTGTTAATTTTGTTGCCGAAAATTTTTCGTCATAGTTATCGTCAACGACCTTTATTTTCAGACTAAAAAGAGACGATAACTGAATAAAAAATGATTTCGCAACGCCTAAGACAATTTCGTAAATGAATAAAAACGAGATGAAAATGTTTGCCAGAGACGACTTACAATCAGAACTAATGTAGTTCTCATAAGGCTTGGATCAGTTAGAGAATTTCTTGAAGCAAAGGTCCGGAAGATCATAATGTCTAACTATTTAGTGTGATATATACTTAAGTAGCATATTAGTTGTATCAACATCTTCTAAATAAAGGTATGGCTGCATTTCAAAATAAAAGAAAATAAATAAAATGTGAAAATTGTAAATGTTTAAATAAAGTGCTTAACTTAAGCCGTAAAACCCTAATACAGTCGTGTCTATGTCATATATTTTAGTGTTCATGGATATAAGTATTGGTTTTCTATAATAAAAGTAATAAAATTAAAGTCTTGTTTTAATATAAATACATACGAACTTATCACTTTAATCGCTGTTAGAGTAGGATATGGATGGTCTTTTTATTTCGAAAGGATATAAAACTGACATGTTTTTCTCATATTCCTTTTATATTTGTCGGAGTAACAACGCAAACGGAATGACGAGCCGTTTCAGGCGAAAACAGAGCATTTTACTTTTCATTTCAAATGAAACGCGGGGTTGCCAACTTCGGCCAGCAGGCTAGAGTGAGATTTTCAATTCCAGATGTCTGCACATGTTCTTACCTTGTAAATAGTCTGCTTCTGTATTTAACCGTGTAAATACACTTTGGACATAAATAATTTTACGTTTATAATGGTATAATATAGATTTGCCGTAGATTTCCAGCGTGAGTCTGAAAGCGTGAGTGTCATGCCAGATGCTTGAGATTTGGCAGCCATGAAAACGTACATTTTTTGTTTCACCTGATTTGATTTATATAACAAATAACATAACTTTATACAAATAATTATTTATATAAAAAACTTTATACAGTTGTTAAAAAGCAGAAACTTCAACGAACATGTAATCAATAATAAACTATGTCTACAAATATTATTTTTAATATTTCTATTTTAATATTCAGAGAGAGCAGGCCTGGTGGCATTATAGCCTATGCATTTTTTCTTTGAAGTGATTTTAGTTTTGCACTAATGGCACTACTGACAGGTAAACAAACATATGTTTGTGTTTCAAATAAGAGTGAAATCTGTGTCTTTCTGTACTGCACAGTGAGACCTTAACACCATCCCTTAACATTGGCTTCATTTCATCTTGGTGAACATAACGACTTTCTGACATCAAAGGGAAACTTTAAACATTACACTTTAAATTTTAGTCGACTAAATCAACTGTAGTTTTAGTCGACTAATCTTATGATATTTAGTCAACTAAAACTAGACTAAACCTAAAATAATTTAGATGACTAAATTATGACAAACTAAATTTTAGTCAAAAGACTATGACTAAAACTGAATAAAAATTTGCTGTTGAAATTAACACTGGTGCTAGATGGCCTGTGTACTACCTGCCTTCACAGGAGACCCTGCATTAACACACATGCATCCCATAATCCCTCTATTTGAAACAGAAGTAGGCATAACTGACTATCAAAGTGTTATTTGGTCCTTTTAATAGTGGGAAATGACAATTCTGTGTTTAAGTCACTCAGCAGAGGATTAGCGTGGGAACAGAGAGAAAAGCTCTTTGCTACCTGCAGCGCTACATTAAAGAGCCAGCAGCAGGGATGGTTAATATCGCGAGCCGACGGGAGGTGCGGTAAAGAGCCAGCTGCAGGGATGGTTAATATCGCGAGCCGACGGGAGGTGCGGTAAAGAGCCAGCTGCGGGGACGGTTAATATCGCGAGCCGGCGGGAGGTGCGGTAAAGAGCCAGCTGCAGGGATGGTTAATATCGCGAGCCGACGAGAGGTGCGGTAAAGAGCCAGCTGCAGAGATGGTTAATATCGCGAGCCGGCGGGAGGTGCGGTAAATTCACAGAGCTGCGTTTGGGCTCATTCCGCAACAAATACCTGAATTAGCAAAGCCCGGCGAGCCTAACCAGGCCGGCTCCAGGGGTTGGGGGCCTGCTCCCTCTTAATGGCTTTGTTTCAGTGGCCCTGCTCCTGTGTTAAAGCCATTAGCTGCCTCTGTCCCATTTCTGTATGGCTTTTTTGCTTTGTGGAAATCTATTTGTGTCTTGGCAATCCCTGCTCGAGGTGACGGGGGATTGGGCTGCGATGCTGCCCCTCACCCCAACCCTCCCTCCACTGAACATTCTATGCATTACACCACACTTACTCAGCAGATGCTTTTTTCCCCCCAAAGTGACATACTTTTTTTCGTGAAAGCAGAATCATCCAGTCTCTGGAGCGTTCGGGCAGTAAATGCTGCTCTCAAGAAGCCTACTGTGAAGCCACTGCAGGCCCCGGGATTCGAACCGGCCACCTTCCCATCACAGACACAGCTTCATGAGCCCCTGAGCCATATCCCGTACGCTCCTCTATAGCCATAATGCTTCCTCAACAGTCCACAAAGACCACTCACTAACATTAGGAGGTGTTGCCGAGAAAACTTGGCCACATAACAGAGGATTGGATTTTGAGACAAAGGGACACGAATGTCTGGACACAAAGTAAAACCCCAACAACAGACTGGCAATTTAACACTTCGAAACAATTGTTTAAACAACACGTTCAACAAATGAATACTGCTTCAGAAAGGAAAACTAATTTCCCCCTGAAAATAAACACCAAAGACTTTTTCTAGTGGATTTTTCTTTCCAGATCTCAGAGGAGTATCTTCAAGAGGATTTGGCCGTCATTAAATTGCCACACAAAAAAAAAAATGACACTTTGAACGTTCCCCCGGGACTCTTATAAATTATTAAAGCGACACACTGACAAGACATTTTTAATGGCCGCAAAGCGGAAGAGCGAGCACTTTTCCGAGGCGCGATTCCTTTGAAGACGACTCTCGATTCTTCACCACTGGGCATGCGGATGTACATAAAGGTTTGTGAGCAAAACAAAGATCGGGCAGCAGAAACTGCCGGCAATGGCGATGCCGGATAGAGAAATCGCACAGAAGCACTAAAGGTCACCGCAGGCCGAACAGCGGTGCTGAGGAACCTTGAGATGCGCACGACAAACCCAGAACCCGGCCTTGTGGGCGGACCTGTTCCAACGGAAAATTCCCGAATTTGTGCAGCATCACCATGACAGGACACAGGAGGGGGCGCGGAGGAGACAGGGGGAGGAGAGAACAGATGGGGGGGGGGACGACACAAGGGCACATAAACATACACACGTAAGGAAAACCGGGCACAGACAGAGCAGCACACAGGTAAATGGCACAGACAGCCCCCCCTCAGCTACGCCCCCCGCCCTGTTCCGTACCTCTTTGACCTCCAGAAGCCTGCCTGGGTACTGGCTGTGAGCGCGCCGTGCCGCCGCCGGGGACTTGTGATGGGTGATGGTGACGATGCCGCTGGGTGCCCCAGCGAGGGGTGTGGCCCGGGAGCCGGCGGGCGAGGCAGACGAGGAGGAGGCCGAGGAGGAGAGCGGGGGGTGCGGGAGCAGGGAGAAGCTGCGGGCACGGCCCGACGGCACCGTGGCCTGGAAGACATGGCACAGGCAGCAGGGGTCAGGGCAGCAGCGGCGCCCCCCGGTGGGCACCGCCCGGTCACTGCGCTCCGCCGACACACACAGCCGCATGGTCTGCCGACAGGAGCTGCGGGACCGCGGGGGGGCGGGAGCAGAGGGGAGTGGGGGCAGCCTGGGCATCCTGTTCCAAGGACTGCAAAGGCCTCCGTGCGTATCAACTTACCGGCGATCTCCTTTCTTGATAATATGGCGTTTTTTCCCCATCCTGCCCCGCCCCCCATTATAGTAGTTACAGTTACTAACCATCAGTTACGATGCCATAAAGCTTCGGAACATATTCACATGGAAAAAAAACTGCTTACAAGTGTAAATAAAGCTGATAAATCACCCTCATGCAATACAGGCCTGCGGCATTGTTGCTAATGCTAGCACTTTAATCATTACACGGGTACAGTTGCAGGGAGGGGGGGGGGAGGCCGCAGGAAGTCTGAGCTCTTCCATCCTGGCTATTAACCCCTCCGGTGCTGCACGCCTGTCAGAACAGCCCTGTCATATTCCCTGAAGAGAAATGGCCCGGTCCTGCCATCTCAAACACTCCTTGGGGGCGGAGCTTTAAGGCCGCCCTGTGACATCATCTCCTGCTCGCTTTCCGACAAAACGGCGGACTGAAATCAGAAGAGCCCCCAGCAAACTCCAGAAAAGTTAGCAGAGAAGGACATCTTTCTCCCCAGACGTGGCCGTCTCAGTTGTCTGGCCATCCTTAAAATTAGCTCCCCGCTTGCCGCGGTACTGACAAAACACGCTCACCTCCGAATGATCTGCAGCCCAGGGTCAAACAAAAAGGGCTCTATTTCAAAAGCAATCTTTCCAAATACCTCAGACATAAAGTTGGAAAACGTCATACATTACAAATAAGAGGGGAGATAGCTGTGTTTTACTGAACGACACCACATAAATAGCCTCTTTAGATCATCTTCCTTGAGCAAGTGTTTTTTCAGTGGAATATCGGAGAAACATGCTTAAGCCTCATCACCACCTTGTGATTCAGTATCATGTTTTAAGGTTGAATGTAGCTCTTCCTCATGAAATAGCACGATGCTGACAGCCTTAGCCCAAACAGACATGCTTCTGATTCTGCCCGATGTTAGCAAAGGCGCTGCCCGGGATCAGACGGGACTCCTCTGTGACAGCGAAGGCCGTTCTCTGCCTTCCCTTAGACTTGCAGATGTCATCTAAGACTCACTCCAAGATCTGAGAAGAACCTGGCCCAGTAAGAGGCTCAGCTCAAGACACTGAATTATTGATGACTGAACAAAGCCATCAATTACGGCACGAAAAAAAATGTCTCGCCGATATGAACAGACACAAAAAGCACAATCAGATTAAGCTGTAATTACACAGAATTGCTGCAGGTCCAGTGACCCCCACTAGGCGGAAATGCCTACGGACTCATCTGCCTCTCCTGGTGCTTCCATGTGGCTTTGGTTGGTGGGGGGGTGGGAAGGGGGGGCTCTCTCCAGGAGCTGAGATACACAGATGCAGCAGTAACACTTGGATTAATCTAATCACTCTAACTTACTAACCGAAGAAAAGACCACAGGAAAAACCAAACCAGGCGCCTCATTTGTGGCTCAGGATCGATCCTCAATTCTGAACGGTAACAGAGGTTGGGCTGATTGGGCACTAAGTTGTAGGGGCTCAGCGAATCAAAACACAGAGAGACATTACTAACCTTCCGTTCAAAGACGAGGATATATAAAGGATTTATAATTAGGGATTTGAGTTACTCATGGGCGACAGCAAGGCAGCGCAGGGGAAAGCACACTCTGCAATCATGGCTTTGGAAGCAGGCCCTACGTTACTCAGAATGAGGCTGCAGATCGAATCAGAGACAAACTACTGGGGGGGGGGGGGGGACCTTTGGTGCCTGCAGTAAACTAGAAGATTAACGAAGCACTGTGGGTCCCCGGGACAGCCGGACACAAATTAAAACCCAAAGTGAGAGGACCAGCCTCCAGGTCTAAATGTATCCACCCACAGGTAGGAAGCTTCGGGAGACAGATCTGGGGAAGGTGCAATGTTTAGTGTCAGAGGTCCTCGCTAAACCACCCACCTTGGCCCCATATGACGATGCGCAGATGATCAAGCAAGCAGAAGCCGTTCATAGTTCTTGGGCAGAATATGAACCGCGAAGCTTGAAAACCATAAGGCATCTAGCTCTGTTTTCTGTCCGCTACAGCGAATAAACTCCCACACGTACTCCATGGGAGGCCGTGGAGGATCCAGCTTCACATACGAGAGCATCTTCTCCCGTAGGAAACCCGCCCTTGGCTACACGAGCAGAGCAGAGCAGAGCAGAGCGCGGGGGCCGCCTCTGCCTATCTGTGTGCAACTCTGCAGAATTTTCCAACCCTCCCAACTTTGACAAATTCTGAGATTCATGAGAAGTCTGTCTCTAGAAACCTACGGAAAGTCCCAAACTATGGAAGGCCACAAAGAGAGCAATGTGCATCTACTGACCATCGCAAGACCGTTTGGTCCAGATGATCAACATTTTCTTATGAAAGTGACCATAAGAAGCATTGACATCATCACGCTACAGTCAGCAAGCAACCAGATGTAATGCAATTTCTGGAGCAATCTATAGAATTCTTACCTCAGCTTGTGTGCAAGTTACTCTTAGGCTGTTTCTACACCATTTACATATGGATTCTTGAAAGTTCTACTAAGACTCACTGTTAAACATAAGCAGCATAACCTCCCCCAGCACGGATCCAACTGGCCTTAATGCTGACTGTCGATTAACAGCATCAGGTACAGAACCTCCCAATGATACCAGCAGCAAGGAGTGAAAACTCTCAGCATGGACTCAACATACAGCTCCCTGCGGAAACAGAACAAACAGCCAGATTATTCACTTGGGTGGCCTGTTGGGGAAGGGGGGCACTGTAAAGTGCTTTTAGCAGGTATGGAAAGGATGCAGAGAACCTGCAAAGTCCTGAGGTCACACGTGATCCCTCCCAGCCCTATTAGCAATGGTTCTATGACCTTTTGCAGGCTAATCCTGGCCTGTTTTCAGAGGAATTCCGCCATGTCTCCCTTGGGTCAAGGATGTCGATGTAGGAATGAGCTCTCCAAAGAAGCCTAAAGTTCAGTCCAGACACCTGTCACGTGGTGACCTTTCCTGGCATGCCGAGATCCCAGGGGTCGCGGCCCACGCTCGCCGGCTCAGAGGGCACCTCATATCCCGTCACCACCCCTTGCCTTCCCGCTCGGCTGAGGTCCGATTCCCAGCCGCACCAGATGCTTTCCGAAGACGATCTAAAGGCGGTGTCCGACCAGCTGGCGCCGACCCGTGACCCGAGATCCCAGCTTAAATTTGCATCTAGAGAGACCGTTTCCATGCATAAGCTCATAAACAAACATAGAACCATAATTAAACCCAAAGTCAGCCACATCTGGCATTCACAGGTCCAAGCAGCAACCGACTTGACAGTCTTGTGTTTTCGTTGAGTTACCAGGCCCCACCTCAGCCACTCCTGTAGCCCCACCCTGCACAGGCAGGATGATTTAGCTTCCCACAGGGATCCGTGTCTATTCACCTCCTGGTCCTGTGATACGGGGCCTGGCATGTGGTCTGCGTGCGGGACAGCGTGTCTGGCGAGACGGCAGGAAATTTCAAAGCTTTCAAAGACGCAGCAGGGAGCATGAGGCACTGGGAATTTCAATGCCATATATAATGTGAAGAGCCATGTCTGAACATTACACCTGGGGAGAGAACTGGGAGCAGGCGCTGGACTGAGGGGGGGGGGGAGCAGGGGGAGATTAGGGTTATTATGAGAATTCTCTGGGAGCCAAGGTGAGAGAGACACCACCAGATTGAGAGGGGGGGGGGAATGGCAGGGGAGAGCCTCTGTCTGTCAGTCTGAAGAAGAGGATTTATACATCACATCAGCAATAAAGTATCTTTTTATGATTAAAGGTGATCCATCAGAGCACAAAGGCTGAGACTCTCCAGCACATATCGGACATCACTGGCTTCCATCATCAGGGACAGAGAGACATGTTGACAAAGCGAGGAACCAGAGGAGGAGCTACAGAAATGAATGGAGACCCTCTCATAGTCAAATCTCCATTTTAAAGAAATACCTCTGACATAAAAGTAAGGAAAAAGACTTAATCCCCCGCCCACACCTCACTGTGCGTGTGTGTGTGTGTGTGTGTGTGTGTGTGTGTGGTGGGGGTGCATATTGTAACCACATGATCACAGTACTAAGCTAAGAAAAGTACTAAGTATTAAGAAAATGCAAATTGAAACTGAGATACTGGTCCTTTTCATATTGAATGTTTCATTTTGAGAAATGATTCCAACAATAAAATATCGATTTTGTGACCTGGTAATTTAAATATTTATGTTTTTAGAGGGAGCAGCACACAAACTGCTACCAGGCAGTGTCTGATCCACAGTCAAGCCTTCCACCATTCTGCAGATTTTACCATTATGGTTGGCACTGCAGTGAATATTGCTATCTGGCCTGGCAATACCAACCTTCATACTGGATGGAAAATAAAATCAGTGCTATCACCCATCCCTACACTAAACTTGGCCACAGTATTAAAGCTGGATTTTAAAGTCCTTTCCCCCCCAAATTTCAGTTCAAAATTCAAAGTTATGTTTTTAGGCTATTGTCTAAAGTTCATCTCAGGGCATGAAGATCTTATTATGGTTATGCGAGATCAACCCCAAACCATTAAGGGGTATGACAACAGCTCCACGGTTGGCAGTGACAGCCCATTACCCATAATCCCCAGTGCTGCAGACTCCAGATGGGCCCCGTAACCAGCAGCCCAGATGCTACCCGCCCGAACACCTCCAGTTCCATGTTCAACTGATGGAGCCTGACAGGAAGTGTGGTATCTTGGCAACCGTGTGGGTGAGTGCCGCGCTTACCCTGGTGCTGCCGTCGGAGTGGCGGCGGGCACAAGCCTGCAGCTGGCTCATCCAGAACTGCTGCTCTTTGGCATCTGAAGCTGTGGGGGAAACGAGAGAACTTAGAGGCCGCCATTGTATGTCGACGCCTATCAGGGACGTCCTACACATGGCAACGACACTGATGAGGGCGGAAAAAGGTGCAGGGATGAGCAGAACATCTAACAGGAGTGGGAGAATGCTGCCAAGTGGCCTGTTCCTTCCCAAAAACACACAAGCAATAATAATGTTTCTGAAGATAGGATGTGTGTGACTGGAGGGGAATCCATATTCCAGTGTAGCAGGCAACATAAATTCATCAAAATGCAATGGAACAATTGAAACCTGCCCTTTAAAGTGAATTGATGCTGCATTTATTAAAAGTGACTTGCTGATTTTTATCAACACAGGTGGGTGTTTCACCAAAATATTTAAGGTTGCTCACATTTCTTAAGAGTACAAAGGCAAAGGTGCCTAGCCAGTGTAAATAAATGATGCAGCATCGGCTAAATTAGCAAACAATAAGAGCTCATCTAGATGCACCTGGTACCCAGAGCCACTGAGATCATTATGATCCATACCTACTGTAATTTGCAGAATGTGGTAAATTGCTGTCATTATGCCTGTGATCATTCTAGGCTTCCGAGCGAAACGCAGAGCCACAGGCTCTATAGTAATCCTGAAAGACCGAAGCTCGCCAAGACAAAACGCACAACCCCAGAACGCGTAATGGTGCCGGTCCTTGAAATTGCTGCCATTTTTAGCCAGACAAAAGGGGCCGCCAGCTGCGTGACAGTCACCACTCCGTCTCGCTCTGCTGAAAACTGGCCGGTATTTAATCAAAAAGGCGAAGCTTTTCTGCATGCTCTGAAACACGAGCCCAGCAATAAGCAGAGATCTTCAGCTTCGCCACAATTAGCTGTCGTTGCTGTACCAGACTAGAACGGGCTGCCGGGGAGGTTAATCACGACACTACATCCCGCATGTCCACAGACTCACATACTCCTCTGTTGGCGTCTCTGCTATGTCTGTAGTATGGAAGCTATTAACAAGCACAACAGATAGGCATGTACAGACGCATATTTCTACGAGGCAAGTGTCCAGTAAAATCATTTTAAAACCGCAAACAAGCCCCTGCCAAAAACCTAATGCTTGGCAGCAGACAAAATAATCCGACAGAACACAGTAAAGGGCAGCGAACATATTCCCAGAAGGCCAGTTGTTGCCTTGTCATGTGACCATGCCACTACTGCCCTGCCACACTGTCAGATCTCAATGTCAGTCACTAGGACAAAAGCCCCACACAGCAAACTGACAGCACTATTAAACCAACAAGCTCTCTGCTAAAAACAGAGCCTAATAATGAATACTAAAGATGGCACCGATCTGATACACACTATCGGTATCGGGCCGATACCAGCAAAAACGCTGGATCAGATAATCGGGGGGGCATGGATCGAGTAAGATACCGATCCAAATTTTCCATCAGAGACAGGTCTAGCCTGAAAAATCATGAAAATCCTTGCAGCCCTAGCGCGACATACGGTACACGGAAGTGACACACGTGATGGATGTAGCTGTTCAGCGACACGCGTGTCGGAGCCGTCATGAAGCAGTGTGGGTGGAAATACAGTAATGCCCCCTTCGCATTCGCGATTTGACATTCGTGGTTTTGGTTATTCGCAAATTGGTCGCGAACAATTAAATGGGAATATTCTTTGAGCTTGCCGAAAGATCGCAGAGACTCGTAGGAGACGCGTGAGCCAAAAACAATACTGAAAATGATTTGGATCACATGAAATCATATAATATAAAAATATTAGTAATACATAATATTTGTGAGTATAAGGGCAGACTATAATTTTAATATTTGTCTTTGTCTGAGTGACCGTGCAATCTCACATTTCTCACAATAACTGTTAAGCTTTTCAGTGCCGTTAATTTTGCATTTGTAATGAGCCCAAAACGTAGTTTACAGGGACATAATTTAGATTGTTTGTGTGCTATACAAATAGGTCTTGATAATTAATGACAAAGCAATTTGACATGCAAAGTACACAGTGCAATACTGTTTGTTCAGAATCGTTTAGACAAGCAGACTGTTATGGGCTGAGGTTAGATGTGTCCAGGTGTTATTTATGAATTTTCACATTTGCAGGGATCTTTCACCCATAACCCTCACGAATCTGAAGAGGTACTTTATGCCGAAGGAAGAAAAGGGTAAAACCGCAGAGTGCAGTGCATGTAAGGTCAGTGCGGATTTCTCTGTATGAACACAGGAACATTTATACAAAACTACATATAATCAGAGTTGTACTCTCAGATATCCCACCACTCCCAGAGGTTCCGGAGACTCCCGCAAACTGACAGCAGCTCGCTGACACCCGCAAATGATGCTGAATGTTTCGGAAATCTGTCGTTCTGCTATTTAACTGTGGTAAAATTAGCCAGCAATAGGTTTTAGTGCTGCGAACTCGCCCCAAATCCTACCACCATTCCCTAGGCCCGGTCAGCAAATCCCCCCCCCTTCCCCCGCCGGCAATATATATACACGATATTACCGTAACACCAGCCAAGCACTGGCCGACACCCCTGCCCTCCCAGATGCCCCTCACCTGCCTACATGAAATCAATATCCCTAAGGTGAGGTGTCTGTATTTTTTCTAAAGTTTGGTTATTTACTAAGTTTTCTGGCTCCATTCTATATTTTCTACAGGAAACTCATGCATATACTCTTTAACTAGAAATGGTTAGTTGGGGTATAGGGTCATGTTTTTATGACTGACTTCTTTATTATATTTAATTTGCCGACAGATCGCACAATTTGTACTTATTAACAGAAATATTCATGTTCATTTTTGTAAAAGTTGTTACTGAATAAAACAAAGAAGTAGATTTGTATAAATATCTCATTTAATATTTAGTAGTTGATAAAGGGGAAAAATATTGGATTTGTATCACTACTGACAGATAATCAAAATTTTAATATCAGTACCGGGATTGGGCTATAAAAAAAATGATATCGCGCCATCTCTAATTAATACAATGTTTGGTTGCTCTAGGGCTACTTCATGTGTCACCATAACCTGCGAGTGGAGTTTTGCTTTGAAGCCTTGATTCCCTAAGAGGGCCATAAATTACAGAACCCTTCTGTTTTCACTACGAGAGCAAGGTCAACGGCCATGCGAGAGCTACAGCCACAAAGCACGGGCACCATCGCTGCTGACTGAGCAATGACTATGTGCTATACACACCTACTGTGTGAGAATAGGCCTCATCAAGGCAGACTGATTAAGCAATCTGTCCCGTCAGTCCACGGATTACCTAGCACAGGAGCTAACAGACACCAAGTTAGAACAATCACCATTCAAATCGGGGGTTTTGGCCAGGCCGTCTGCTCCTGCTTGATTGGACAACGCTGGAAGATCAATAGAGCTGGGCTGAGCATGCAGGCATTCTAGAAACTGTACAGCTGGCAGAACAGAGGGCAAGGAGGCTTTTCAAACCAGAGCCAGCGAGTCCATGCCAAAGCCGACGGGTAGAAATTGGGGACGTCCCTTTTCTGGGGTGACAGCGATGCAGCAGCTGTTGATTCATTTTTACTCAGAGGTAGCCGACAGCACGCTGAGTCATTGAACTGAAACACTTTCACAAGAGACACATGATGAGAATATTTTTCTGAAGAAGGTCAGATCTATTGCAAAGCCTCAGATGCTGACTACAGACGCTTTTCATCATGAAGGGCTTGCTATTCTGACACCCTCTGGTTGACAGAGCCCAGCTATCCTAAAGCTTCTCGTTCATATTCATTAGGAACCAAGGAATCTACTCTTGGAATCTACTACAGCAGGGTTACAATGATTCAGCAATTCCATGCATGCCAAGAAACTTTGGGGTGAATGGAATATTCTGGAATACACATTATTAAAACCAGCCTTACATGTTTTTTCAAGTTCAACCAAATTAGAATCTTGATTCATTACGATGTTGGAGGATGTTTCCGGAATGTACTCCTCCATATTCATTAGCTCTGGATGCAGTATTTGCTGGACACCCACCTCACAAGCTGACTCTGCAGTGTCAGTGAGAGGGCTGCACTGATGGCCCCCACCCCCTACAACCCCCACCTCTCAAAGCAGAAAAACAGGAAAGCTTTTATCACTAAACCACAAACTTTAGTTTCACAGATAGTACCAGACAGGAGAGTTTCCATGACAACCCCCATGGACCCATGCACTAAACAAGGGCAGTGACTCTGTCTTATTGATACTGTATTTCAGACCTTGCAGCACACAGCTGACTGCCCGAGGCAGGTAATTAGACAAGAAGAGAGCAGCCAAACTTGCGGAAGGCCAGCTAAATGCGCCATTTGGCTCAGTCGCACTCCTCTTCACTTCATACCCTACTGGTTACTCATGGCACCGTCCCAGTACTCTTAAGGAATTATCGACAGACATCCCTCAGGGTCCCGTTTTTCTTTATCCCAAAGTCAAGACGTTCTCAGCCAAGCTGAGGGAAATGCCAATAGTGACATCGAGTGCTGACAAGGGAAAACGAACTAATGTTTAATTCTCTCTGCAGGCTGTCGGGGCATCGCTGGACCGTTTGGGACAGCCCAGGCATCATGCAGTCCGAAACAGGAGGCTTCGGAACCGTTCGGGAATCAGGTCTTACTGTAAGAAGGAACTCACAAAGGAGGAAATCACCATTTGGGAGCCCATCCAGCAACAACAAGGACCATTTCTGGGCTAGGACACATCCCAACCAGACAGATGTAAATGCTGCACCTGTCATAGGGATGATCACTCAGGGCTGAAGGGAACTACTCTACAACCCATCCCATAGAGGACCAGGCAACTACACATGTTCCACAGTGATTATAGAGCTTTTAAAGATGCAACCTGACACTGAGAGCAGTAGGAGTCTCTTCGCTGCCAGCCCAGTACCTGCACTGCTTGGAAGGTCAATCCTTAAGCTGCTAACACCAGCAAACCCACAAGCAGGTGACCAGGCATTGCAAACTACCTACTGACTGTGGACATCAGCCCTGAGATCCTCTCTGCAGACCATTTTCATCAATTGGGTCATGTATCTGCTGAGGTCCGGTTTGTCGGGCATGGCTCTCTGCCATCAGGGCCCAAAATGACCGACGACTATCATTCCCCAGAACCACCATCTTTGCTCTGATGCTCCCCTACCGGACCCCTTAAGACATTAGCAGGTCGTGTCACATTTCGGCAGCATTTGTTACAGACCAATCTGGGCCCTGAGATTCTTGCCGTCAAACCCTCTGCCCTGCTTGCTTCTACCGTTGAGTTATTTCACTCGGCAGATACATCCATTCCATTTTGACAAGGTGCCATTTTACGCTGTATGACGTACGTATGATGAAGCTGCACACACTTCACTAGGATTCGACGGCAGAGTTGAGCCTTTCTGAGGCTCTTTCACATAGAATCTGTAACGTTTTGGCCTTCCTTTTGAAGTCCACATGATCCCCAATGGCACCCCCACAGGATGGGCATAAAGGAGGTGCAGGGGTATTAGGGAGGAGCCCAGGGAGGGCGTCTCTTACCTCGGAGCTTGTAGAGCTCGCCGCTAGCTGAGTAGATGGTGAACATGTGCGGCGCCTCATCGCTTGGGGTTACAGACGCGCCGGCGAGGGGGAGCCAGCCACGGGGCTTCTGGGTCCGGCTGTGCTCATTCACGAAGTACTGCAGCTGCTCCAGCTCCGGGTCCAACACGAAGTACCTAGAGGGGAAACCAAGAGGCAAGGACAGTCATTCCTGGCCGGCGTCCAACCACCATGTGTCCGAGGTGCAAACAGCAGCGGAAAGTAAAACCGTGGGCAGTTTGATTGCTCGTTACGGGCCCTCTGAGAAGCCTATTGAACTCCGAAGAAACGAAGACTTTTAGTATGGCTGGAAATAACTTGCGGTGCCATTCTTTATGGAAGAGAAAAATAAATAGAGAATTCCTGAAGTAGAACATACCTTGCAGCACTTTGGGATGTGCAAGGACCGAATGACTGAGCCACACGCAGCAGATACCCTGTGAGAAAGTACCAGAGCACCGGAACGCGCAATCGGACCAGCATCAGATAGGGACTATCAGCTGCAGTAGTGTGAGTCTGTGCTTGCTGTCAGCATCAGCAGGGATGGGGGTTCATAAATGACACGTTAATAAACCGACACAAAGAAACGAAAATACCAAGTCACACCATCACAGGCAAAATTATTAAACTGAAAAGAGCTATTTCCACAGCAGGATGCTTCACAGAGAAACCCAAAACAAAAATACATGTACAAAAGAATTTATGCTAATATGAATACATAAAACAACAAGCCGGTGACATGTAGCTTGAATAAAGCAGTGCAGTGGAAAGAGCGATTTACTGGAAGAGAAGGACGTTCATTCCAGGGAAGTGAGGACACCACCCATTGTAAAATACACCCTCGACCCCGCCAACACACTTTTCCTTTTGTTTGGCTTGTTTGGGGGGGGAGGGGGATAATTAAATAAACAGCGGAACCCCCCCCCCCCCCCGGGCACCACAATTTTTTACAATTACATTTTTTTTTTTTGTGGTGCGAGCCCCCTTTTTTTTTTTTTTTGGTTTTGTGGGGGGGGGGGGGGAAAATAAAAAAAAAAAGGGCCCCCCCCCCCCCCCGCCATGACATCACATTTATTACGCATTACATTGTGTTATTCGGTGGTACGAGCCATCTTTTGCTCTTCTATGCATGATTGTCTACTTAACTGATTGTCTACTTAAGTGATTCTGGTTGAGTGCTTCTCTCCGGGCTGCAACAGTTTTCCCCTTAGGGTGTTAAACAGAAGATGAGGGTGCAAATCAATTTTACTACTATGACCCCTACTGGCTATAACATGTAATACCTCCTAAATCTGATTGCTTCAGATTTGCTGCTAAAGGGATTTACACGAAACAATCTTTAATTTAACCAAGATGTCATATCATACAACGGTCGTAATCGATTTTATTGGGATCTTACTCAGCATATCATGTAGTCACTGTATAAATGCTAGTTTGTTGTAGTATATTGTTTAGTAAATGTGTAAATGTGGCACCATTGGGCTCTGGGAGAGAATATTTCAACACAGACGTGTATATTAAGGAACGCTGAGATCTGTGTGGCTGGAACTCGCTATCCTGTCCTGGACACAAGGAGGCACCAGCTAGCCAGTGAACCTGATACACTAGAATCTCTGGCTCCATGGATGAGACGGTTCACTGATCAGACGATGGTCACCTAACAGACCAAGGCACCAGCTTCTCCAGTATACAGCTGCAGCTTTGGAAGTAAAGGTCACAGCCGTCATCTGGAGGACTGGAGACGAGAAGGCCCTGACAAGAACCTCATTCCCGATCTGTCAGCAACATTGTAAATTACATCTCTGACCATGAGCCCTTTCACCTAAGACTGCACTTTGGCCCCCGCTGCCAATGGCAACCACAAGTCAATGAGCTGCTCTACAGCAGGAAAAAAGAAAGGCAGGGTGGGATACATTCACACGCTACATCAGCGAGTACCCGTCCAGTGGATATCTCTCTCTGTTATCAGTCTCTGCTGGGGTTAGCTCACCAAAGAGCCTCGAAACTTTCACATGTACATCGTCTGTCAGCCACACATAAAGTCAGCCTAGTCACATCCGCTCTGGCTCACAGACACACGCACGCACACGTTGGTCTTCCTATCTAAATGGAGAGAGTCCATTCATTTCTATGGGAAAAACCCTAATCACAATCACGACACCCTTAACCCCTACCCATTCCTAACCTTAACCATAAGTAACCAACCCAAATACAAGACTTGTGGCATTTTTACTTTTTTGATTGCATTCTCAAAAGATGTCCCCAAAAGTGATCTATGCACACCCACACACACGCACACACACACACGTCGCACGCACACACACACACACGCACGCACGTATGCATGCACATGTCGCACGCACACACACATGCGCACATCCTGGGCCTCACAGCAGCCGGCTGCTTGACAGGCAGCCACGTTGCATCGATTGATTATCCATAAGGGGTGTCCTGCAGGCCTCTTTGATCAAACGCAGATTTCACAGCAGAGGAGCTTCTGTAATTTCCAGGTCCAGGGCAGATATAACAGCTTTGGTACCAGCCACAGCGAGGGGGGGGGGTAGATCATGGATGCAGGACACCAAACTGGCCCTCCCAGTCCTCTGTGCAATATTAAGCTTATCATAAACTGAAACTGTTTTCTGGGGATTCTGATAAGGCAGACCGGTGACACGTCAAAGCCAGGAAGTCCGTGTTGGTGATCCCGACTTCCTTGTTACGAGTGAATGAGGTCAGTCGCTCGGTAAGCCCATCAGGCAAGTAATTCCACATTTTCCGCACAATAAAACCAATTCTTAGAAAACTGTCCCTCTGAGGGCTAATAATGGCCAGGAGGAAAATTAAAAATAGCATCGCACAGTCACACCCTTTGCCCTCACCTGCTTCCATGCAGTCAAGGCAGAGGGATTGCAGAAGATCTCGGCACGCCGGTGAGAATCAGCGAGTATTTAAAATTGGACGACGGCAAAGGTTATCGTCGGCCAGGGAGCTGCTCGCGCCGGAAGCTGCGCTGATAAGGGCGATCGGAGTGTCCAGTTAAGAGCCTTCTGTGAAAAACGGCGCCTTGGAAAGGACTCGGCTGTCACTCGGGGATGGAAGCGATCATTAATGGTTGTCATTCTTGGAAAGCTGTGCCAGACCCAGCATTTAGGCTGTAAGTCAAATTCACATGCATGCTTTTATTCAGGAATAGAAACACCAAAGACGCACTAGACAGCCAGACCTGTGGTACTGTCCAACTTCCATATCAAAACCACAAGTGACTTACAAAATAATTAAACTGAGCTTAGAAATGAAGGTTTTCCCCCCCTATCATTCACTTGGTTCTATTGTCGATTTTGAGTAATTTTCTCCCCTCCATCCTTCATTTCGTGTTTTCACGTGGTCCAGCCAGCATGGCCACCACCCACTGCCCCTCTCGCTGCAGGGGGTGGGCTTTGATGAACCAGTCAATCGCAGCCAAGCTCCTGCGTCACACGGTTATCTTGGCACATCCCCACCTAAAACACTCAAAGTCCAAAAGCAATATATGAGTGACTAGGACAATGGGGTGCAGGAGGTGGAAAATGCACCCTTGTTATATGGCTGTCTAAGGGGGCGGCTTAGACACTCGGAATAATAAGAAAACTTGCTTGTCCTCGTAACTAACACTTCAGTAACAGTGAAGAAAATGCAAAGTCTGCCAACATCACACAGAACACTGCAGGTCATCAAAGCTCTTCCGTGTTACATGTGACAGCTACTCACAGCTCATAACTCGCGAGTTACTAGCAAATTCATTTAAAAAAAAAAAAAAGGCTTGCAGAAGACATAGCTGTCAGTCATCAGGGACTAAGAGGGGCGGAGCTTGTGGGCCTGGTCCGGCCCCCTTCAGGAAGAGGCCCCGCCCTCACCCTCAGAAGCCTGATAGCAGGCGGAGGGGGGGAGCAGGAAAGGGAGGAAAACATAGGGAAGTGAAAGTGGGAGAGGTGTCAAGCTGCCGAACACACGACGCCGGCTCTGCAGCTGGATGGAGGAACCAGAGCCAGAAGGGAAGGTCACCTCAACCCAGGGGTAACACTGGACCACATTCCAGCTGATTGGGCCATCAAGGGGTCACCCACAGGTCCCGGCTCGGCCTGCAAGCAGATAACCACCCCTGGGGGCAGGAATATGGGCAGACAGGCAGTAAAACAATGCCAGGTACTAAAAGCACCACAAATCACAGACCGCGACCAGATTACAGACTACCAACCAGCACAGACACATGACCAATCCAAGTGACTGTGATTAATTTTCTACAACTATCAGACATTAATTAGCTTCTTTTGAAACCCATTAAAATGTCCATAATCTCCTTGCTCATATTGTCCCCAACAGACAGGCCAGAAGTTTATTTTTCCAAAATCTGCTGAAATGGCTCCTTTTTCACATTAAACCTTGTATCACGTCGTTTCCTTCCCATCCTGCCCCGACAAAACTCCGGAAACTCCGGAAAACACACAGCTTCCCAGCTGACGTCCGCTTCTCTTCTAGCAAATTCTCTTGTCTTCAGTAAAATCAGGAATCAGGCCAGAAATATCTGTGCCCTGCTGAATGTTACGCAAGCCTCCGCCCTCGTGACCCCACCTGTTGCTTCTTGCCCCACCAGCCGAGAGATGTAAAATAATAAAGATAAAAATGTTGCACCGCATCAGCACCCAACCCAACTAGAGCTGCCCCCGGCCTGGTCCCCAGGAGCCCAGGAACCATTCCTCGTAGGCGTTTTCCCTGGGGGCGGCGCTGTCCAGGCCTGCCGGAACACACCCCGCGACATCATCACGGTGACCGACCTCATTCGGCCGCGGTTCCAGGTGTCGTTTTTAATCACAAACAGGCACAATAACGTAACACGGCATCAGGGCGAGATCAGCCTCCGTGCTGGGAGGGAGGAGGGAGGAGGAGGGGGTGGCCAAAGTGGAGCCGGTCTGTCTACAAGCTGAGCAAATAAGCCACAAGTTCACCTTGAAATTAACTTCTGACATTGAGCAGATTGTTTTAAACAACAACAATCAGTGATCCCCAGTGGCCGAAGTGTGGCTGTCCTTAACACAGGGATTTCAGCTTCGCCTTAACACAGCGGAGAGTTCAGCTTCGCCTTAACACAGTGGGGATTTCA